AAAAAATTGTATCACAAGGTGGAAAACAGATATGCTATTAGGCAAGTTTTGAAAGATAGAGAATATTTGTACAGTTAGAAAAAAATAGTTAATTCAAAAATAAAATTGAATTAGAGCAACAATATAACGAATAAATATTCACAAATATTCTAGAGAGGCCGCCATCTCAATATATATTTAAAAAAAAATAAAATCTAAAAGCGTCAATCTGAAGAAGATTAAGTTTTACTTTCTTAAAAATCACAAGCTAGCACAATAATGTAAAGGTGAAATCCCCTGTCGTCCATAGTAACCAAGAAATCAGCATAGTTTTTATTTTATTTTTTCCTTTATTCTTGTAATCTATCAACTGTGTGTTGTTCTTTCACACGTTTGTGCTTTTAGGTTTCTTCTTTTTTCTTTATTATTATTAAGTGTATCTGTTTTTAGTGTTTTTAGCATATCCATTTTATTGTTTTTCATCTTTTCTTTCAGATTTATTTTTTTCAAAAGAGAAATTTGGATGACAGACCCATCATCATTTTTTGTACCAAATTTCTTTTATTCCGATACTTCCTGGTAAATTTTGTCTTTTCAAATTAATTGAAAAAGTCCCGCATTTGGGTACTTATTTCCAGTGACGGATCTAGAAATTTTACTCAGGGGGGTCTGATTTTAAATGTTAAATAACGAGCTTATAGTTTAAGCCGAAACGTTAATTTAATATAAAAATGTGTTTATATAAATATAAATATTGATATGTGTACCATCAAGGTTTTACAAACTTATAATCGGAATCACCCTCAAAATTAAAAAAAAAATAAAATAAAATTTTATGTATTTATAATTTAAGTTCAACATCTATAATTTATGGAAAATAAGTTTTACGGTTGAAGATTTGATTTAAATTAAACATTTACAGCACATTGTATAGCATTTTTGTTGATGTGTGTTTATCAAATGACCATTTTTTAAGAAAAAACAAATCTAAAAATATGTGATTACACAAAAAAGGTTAAAATCTACATCAAAAATCTAACAATCCAATCAGTTACTCGTTTTTATAAATCACTAAATCGACTTATAATTAAGAGGCCAAAAGATTATAAATATTTTCAAAAAGTTGTTTAAAAATGTAAAATATAAGATTGTTAGGGTATTTTCCAACAAATATATAATATTATTAATTTAAATTAAAATAGCATAAAAACTATTTTTTAATCTTTTATATATTATAGATATTTTTTTGCATTTTTTTCTATATTTCATAATATTTTTTATATGTCTATACATAATGATTTTTTTGAAAAAAATCAGGGGTGTCGACGGCCCCCGTTGGACCTCATCTAATCCGTCATTGCTTATTTCCTACCTTTTTCTTATAATTGGTCGCCACGATGGATATTACAATTGGATGCCACCTCAGATTTATGACATGCTTTATGGTGCTCCAGTGGGCACCATAGAATTTTTGCAAAAACTGCCCCTAGGGTTTAGACCCGTTACACCAAAAAAAAATAATAATAAAAATAAAAAATCTCAGATCTTTTTAAAATTACAAATACGGATGTTGAGGATGCACTTCTGTAGGACATAAACAAATGTGGGGGTTATTTGCAATTCTAAATTATAATAAGCAGCTTCCCTTGTAATTAGGCTATTCTTCAGGAATAGTATTTGTAGTCCACCATTTAAGTTATAACATGCCATGTCAATCATACTTCAGACTATTCAGCATTCATGTGATATTTTTTTTTAAATATAGAATTAATTTCAACAATATTATAGCTAATATTCTTCGGCAGTAGAAATATAAATTCTTCATTCATTTTCCTTTTCAAACAATTACCACACAGGTCATTTTCGAAATTATCCAGAAGAATACAGAGCTGCTGTGTCTGAGCTGCTCGGCAAAGCCGCCGATATTTTCTCCCACAAAATAAGACAGCTTGAAGGTGAGAAAGTGGGCCACGAGGGCCTGCACGACCAAATTTCCAACCCATTTGGCAGCCTGACAAAAGCAACTGCAGAATCGAGTCGGGGCTTCCCGAGAAGTGAGGTGAACTCGAAAGGCCGTTTTTTCATGCCCAGTTCGTTGGAATATCACGAGGACCGAGTAGGGTCTGTGCATGATGAACATGTTGAGCAACGTTATGTGCCTCTTACAGGCCCGGCCCAAATCAACATGCATGGAGTTCTTGGCCATTTCCTCTTTGACGTTTGCATCCCTAAGAATGTCGAGGATTGGGATATAAGAGCTTCGCCTATGACCTTGAGACGAGGCACGTTTGCTTCTGGAAGACGGAATTCACATTTTAATCCTATAATAAAATGCATTCGTCGCTCGAGGTTATGATTTTATTTTTGGTAGTTTATCTTCTTTGTAACGATACTTAATGTGCTGCAACATCATAAAGAGCTTTGTAGTTCTAAAGATTATACAACATCATAAACTGTTTTGTAGTTTTAAAGATGATAAGAGGTTGTATTGCTCATATATGTTTAGTTTGCAACCAGAATGGAGCGACTTGTTCCTATGCTGCACCAAATATCATCTCTATTAGTGCATCTGCGTTTACATTTAAACTAAGCATTACGTGTTGGTCGGAAGCAACCTGGGAACAAGCCAAGAGTCGAGCAGTCCCAAAATGGCATTTGAAACCTTCCATGGCCAACATGAGCCATGTGTAGATTGAAACGAGTTGTGTGGGTGCTAGGAGAGCCGAGCTGACCTCTCTATATTTTCACACGAGTTGTGTGGCACATGTTACCTGTCACACGACCCGTGTGAGCCTGGGAGCGAGCTGATTGGGGTTTGACGTGCTTTTTTTTTTTTAATGGGTCTTTGGATCTATTTCTATTAGGGTTTGATCAAAACTATTTAAGGGATACTGTTAAATTTTGATTAATGTTTGTCCCATATTGAATGTATACAAAAATGTATAGGAATTTTACTATTTAAGGGACGATGTTAAATTTTGATTAATGTTTATCGCACATCGGATGTATACAAAAGATGTGTAGGAGCGTGTTAATATAAATATGTTTTGTGCTTTTGGGTAATATTGCACCTTGTTCTCTTATCTCATATCTAAAAAGGAAATCCTTAGTCTAGGAAATTCTAATGTGTGGTTTATTTATATTTAGTTGTATTTTGTTGGTGAGTTTAGTGAATTTGGCGTTGCGATTGACGGTGCTCAGAGACGTAGGCAATATTGACCGAACTCCGTTATCAATTTTGTGTGTTCGTTTTTGTTCTCGTATTTTATTTATTTCTGTCAGGTTATTTCGTTAGTGGTAGTGCTTGATGTCATTCGTTGTGGTGATATGTTTGCCCGTTGCGCTTGTTGTGATACCAAGCTGTGGTCGAGAGAGTAGAAGTATGCATTCAAGAATGAGAACTCTGCTCACGTGGATGGATCAAGAGGACAAATATATGAAAAAAGAGCGGCCAGAATAAGCTTCTTATAACGAAGGAATTGTTTCAATTTTTCATTTGAGTACCGTCATGACACATCGATGAATGACCACATCATTTGGTTGCAAATTTGAACTTGGAAGTCACATTCAACAATGAAGATCTGGTTTTGATGTTGTTATCATCTCTTTCGGATTAGTTCGAGCACTTGGAGACTACCTTGCTCCATGGAAGGACGATGTAACTCTTGCAGTGGTCAGTTTTGCTCTCTATATAGCTATGAGTTGAGGGAGAAGAACAAGAGACAAAGAATGCAACAGCAGAAGATGAAACATTCAATCTCAGACAAATGGATTTGGATTTTGAATGCACCTATCATATGTCTCCTTTAATGGAGTGGTTCTTTAATCTTAGGAGATCAATGTAGGGGTTGCCTATATGGGTCATGATGATGCTTGTAAGACAATCGAGATAGGTTCAACTCTTTTGAAAAATCACGATGTATCTGGCATAGTTTTGACAGATGTTCGGTACATGCCGAGTTTGAAGAAAAATCTCATCTCATTATAAATCTTGGAATTCAAAGTCTTCTTAGTGACTTTGCGAGATGGAGTTATGAAGGCTACATCAGGCCCACTCGTAGTAATGAAAGGCATGAGAATGAATAACTTGTATTACTTTGAATATGATACGGTTGTTAGGACAACAACACTAGCAGATTCTACCAATAAGAAGTCTGAAGTGGTCAAGTTGTCGCATATGTGTTTTGAACTTGCTTGTTAAAAATCTTTGCAGACATTGGTAAGACAAGGAATGTTGAAAGATGTCAAAGTACATGAACTAAATTTTGTGAGCATTGTGTTCTAGTTAAGTAAAATTCTAGTTAAGTAAAAGTGAATGAAGTTTGGAACAACTATCCATAATATCGAATGTGTCCTTAATTATGTTCATTTGGATGTTTGGGGACCTTCTAAGACCCCATAATTGGGCGAAAGACACTATTTTGTTACTTTCACTGAAAACATGGCCAAAGGCTAAGCCTCTACCCACTCGGTGAAATAGTCCACAACCACGATCTAGAACTTTCTCTAGCCTAAAAACCTTGTGGCATAGGTCCCACAGGTCGATGACCCACTAGGAAAAAGAGGCTAATAAACATGCTCGTGCCAACCCTAACTCACTGAAAGAGAGGAAGAAGATGGCGAGCAGAATGGCTTTTCTGATGAAGCAAAATAAGAAGGCTCCGAGCCACGGGCTCGAGTTCTGCAGGGATGTCGAGTGTCGCGCCTTCTACCCCAGCGACTGAGAACCCGTTGACCCCGGGGGCCAACGTGACTGAGTGTACTGCGCCGTCGATGCCGAGCTCTGCTCGTGGGGGCCGGGCTGGCGATCGTGAAGCCGGCGCCGGTCGCAGAGATGGTCGAGCGAGCTAGGGCGTCGAGACCCGGCAGAAGAAGCGCAGGACTCGCGAGGAGGAATCAGAGAGGTCCAACGATGGGACCGACACCAAGGCTCGAAACGACGGGTCGTCCTCCCCCAAGAAGAAGAAGGTGGTCGAGGAGGAAGACGATGTTTTAGTCAGCAAGTCGGTTGTCCCCGTCCATCTGCCCAGACTGTCGACTTGCATCCTCGTCAATCCGAGGAGGAGGACTATGCTCTCGAAGAGCTTGTCTTGCTTCCCAGACCGGTGGTTCATTGATGCGAGGTCAGCGGTCCGTTTTCATCTGCCCAATCAATATCACTTGCCCGGGCAGGTCATGACCGCCGCTCGGACCGTTATGGCGTCTTGGACCCCGACTGCCGAGGCGGCTTTTGTAGCGCCCCGTTCGTTTATTAGAATTTCTGAATTTTTATATTATTATTTATTTGCTTATATTGAATATTTGTCTTATTTTATTTAATTGTCGATTATGATATTAATTGCTGTCTTAGTTGTTCTGATTGATATAAAATTGCTATGTGGCATTATTTATATGAATATTATGTGTTTATTTATTTTATTTATGTGTTATAATTATTAGGATTTATTTGATTAGAATTTTAAATTGTTTCGGCGATTTTTGGATTAATCCTGTAAGAACGATTCTTATCCGTTTCTATTCGTTTTCGAGCAATTTCAATATGAACTGGTAGTGTGTTATTTTGACCTAATTAATTGGCATTTTCGGTCCAATCTCAGCCCTCATACCCGACCCTTTTATCTCGGCGGATTTGTTTTGCCTTAGGAATAATTTGAACTCCTTTTGAATTTAGATTCAATTAATTCTATACTAAATTTGGCAAGTACTCTACCAATCCTATTTTATTCTCTTTTGCCGTGTCCTTAGAGTATTTTGAGTGTGGCTTTAGGATATGCCTTAAGTATTTTTTTTTATGTTTTATTATTTCTTTTGCCGTTTCTCTCCCTTCATCAAAGAAAATTGATGCTAATTATGGTGATAAATCACCTTGAATTCCATTACAAGTTATAAGGCAAATTCACTCCATTCATTTCAACTCTCTCACGTTTTACTCTCTCATTTACTTAGCATTTTTCCTGCATATTTTTCTCCTCTCGTAACTCGGATAAACTGAAGCAAGTAATTAAAAAAAAAAAATCCCATCGCACCTTCAACCACCGTCCCAGCCTCTGTCCTTAAGCAGCAAATCTAGGTGACGCCCTTTCCGAGATCATCTCCATCGCTGCCCTCCGGTCACGCGAGCAAGCCGGCAACCCACGTCTCTGTCCGAAGCTCAGCACGTCAAACCGAGGCCGAACAACTGCCGTCCGAGGCCCGTATTCTCGATCGGGTCATCCTCATTAGTTGTAGATTCCCGAAGTATGGTGACGTTCGGATACTCTTTCTTTTTAGGCTTGTGTTCTATTTTCGTTGATTATCGTTGAATCATTTCCGTCGTTGGTGTTGGATTATTTAACGATTCGTATATTCGTTTAGTTCGTTGTGTTGTGATTTTCATTTGACGTGGATATTGGAACTCTCTTTCTAAATCGAGTCTTTGAAGCTGCTGTTTATCGTAAATTCCGAGCCTCATTTATTATCCGAACCCTATAAATTTTCTAGATTTCGTACCTCTGTCCAAACTGTGCTTTTGACAAATTGAGAGTAAGTCGTAACTCCCATTCAGCCTGTTGTGTATTGGGTTATCAAGCATGTTTACTGATAGTATGTAAGTTATTGTTTCTTGATAATTATGATTGATTAAAGAATCTGTAATATGGCCATTCATTGTAAAATTATTTTTTTAGCTTGATTTCAATTCGTTTATCTTTATTAATTATCAAATTAAATATTAGCTAGAGTGTTGTTACTGTATTCATATATTGATTTGAAGTAGCAAATGAGATTAATTTAATTGAAATGGCTCAGATTACATGAGTTTAATCGAGTGAACTTTGCTAATTCGGTCCAAGTTCTGCAGCATAGTTATTTGACATTGAGGATTAAGTACATGCTTAAATTAGTGTGTTTGGAGTGTATATTATGTTGGCATGCATGTGTTTTTCGTTATACTAGTATTGACCCGTGCGATGCACGGGATGGTATATTTTTTTGAAATTTTTTTAATATTAACATTAAATTTAATGCACTTTGTAGATATGTAACAAATGTAAAATGGAAAAAAATAAATTTAAAATTTTATAAATTAGTAAACACTTCGTTGTACACAACGTTTTGGGTCTGATTTGGTGGCAAGTCATCGTCATTACAGACTAATATCTTCAACCCACTTCGGTTAGTGACACGGGAGGCGGCAACATATAATTGACCATGATTGAACATCGGCTTCTTAAGAAATAAACCAACATGCGATAACGATTGTCCCTGGCTTTTGTTGATAGTCATGGCATACGATACCATAATGGGAAATTGTCGCCTCTGGAACTTGAAAGGAATTCTGACATCGGAAGAAGTTATCGTCATTCTAGGAATCAACACCTTATCGCCTCCGTGGTGTTTGTTTCTCAAAACCTTTTCTAAAACCTTATTTTAAGAATCATCCGATATTGTAGTGTGTTATCATACGTGAGAAACAACATAATTATGCAGTTATTATCTACCATAAATTACATGAAAATTTTGGACTAGTTATTAAATAAATATGGAAATGAATTAATCTGTTTAATTGTGGTTGGATAAAACTATTTTGAATTTTTTAATTTTAAGCCCAAATAAAAGTGGGATTATTTAAAAAAAATCTCAAAATAAAACTGTCAGTTAGTAATTAGACAATCATTGGATTCTATGATAGAAGATTCTAATCATATTATTGAATTTTATGATAAGAATGTATTACTTGAAAATATTGCGTTTGATTTTTTTAAATCAATTAACCGATTTGAAACATTAGTATGGTAGAAAATTTCTAATTAAATTGGTTAATGTTAGGATAGAAGATATTNAAAATTGTTAATAAACAAAATATAATGAAAAGTATCCAAACGTAAAAAAAGTGTCATAATTAGATAAATTTCGACAACCAATTACCTATATGATTTGGCAAAATTGAATTTTTTTTTTCGATCGTACAGGCGGGATTTTTCAATAAAATTCAAATAAAATTACCACGTTAAGAAACATTAAAAATTTTAAGCTAGAATTTAATTTCTATTTTAAGTAAATAGTTTGTCTTTTAAAATATGGATAGATTAATCGATTTACAAAATATAAAAAATTATTTATTATTGATCTAGATGAGTCTCCACAACCAAGCCAATAACATCTAAGCAAAATGATATATAATAAAAAATTATTATATACATTGTCATAATATTTCAAATACAACATAACATATAAACCCTTTTTAACATAGTAATCAACAAAATAATCAATATATTATAAAAATAAGACAATGTTGCATACCAAATAACATCGATTCATCAACATTATCATATCGATTAACGTCACAAAGCTCCTAAAATCGAAACCATAAAGTGGAAAAACACCCTTGTACTTGTACTAACCCCAACCCGTCCCCCATTCCCACCTTGTTCTTTTTAGGCTTCTGAGGCTGCTCGTACGACCCTTGTGGCGGGTAACCCTGTACCCATACCCGTCCCAATAGGGCCTCTCACTCCCATTCCTGCTCCAAATGGCTTGAAAAACAAAGTCGTGCAACAATTTGTTCATTTTAACAATGAAACACACAAATTCTAAAACCTGGACACAATGAACAAAACAACGAAAACATAAAATAGAGCAATATATAAAACATAATATAACTTCTCACAAAATGTACTGGCAAGTATTCATATTCACTGTAAGCACGCCAGACTTCAACATAACTCCTTGTGCTCCGCACCCCTCGACCGCATACACCCGCCCGTCCATCTCAGTGCATGCAAGGTCATAGCGTGCGATATTCGTGCTCGCAAGAATCAAAATTTGCAGATAAAAAACATACATTATTTCTCAGCCCAACTAAGAGGCAAGAATCAAAATCAATTAACTACACCAACCAATTGGCAATTGCAATTTTCACATCAAAACAAAAAAATTTATATAAAAAAAAAAACAATAAAGTTACCTTGACGATGCGGCCGCACTTCATCATCTGTCAGAAGCGCCGAAGTTGACCCTCCCGTCACCACCTAACTCTACCCTGACGATCATACTCCGGCACTTCTCCGGCGTCTTCCCCTACTTCAGCCCCAACGCCGCCAGCACCGACCTCAGCTCATCCGCCGTGATGAACCCGTCCCTCCCCGATCGAAAACCCTAAACGCCTCCCGCACGTTAGTACGCACGGAAAACAAAAAAATATCAGACTTCAATCTTAATACTATAGAAGCAAACAACAGCAATGGAGGCACATAAATAAAATTAATTACTTCAGCATATCTGCAGAAAGCTTAGGGTCCATTGTGAACACATTTGTTTAATATTTAATGAAAAATAAAAACTATAACCCAAGCATTAAAATCTAAATTAATCTATCGTGTGTAACAGGGAAGCAAACCTCATCTTACATTATTATCCGCGATAAATAAGAAATGAAAGTTAGTCTTTAAATGCAAGCATAAGCTATAGTCCACATATATTGCATCAGCACAACACAAAATCTTAAACAAAAATCAAAATATTAAAAAAAACATAGCCCAATTGGAAAATCCCCAAACACATAAAACCACATAGTACAAATGATCCTTGTTATGTGGTGGCGCACAGGTTTAAAGCACATATCCAAAGAAAAATACCCGAATTAATACAAAACTGACACCAAAAGTTTCTTCCGCCGACCCACGTAACTGAATTTGGTCTAACGCACAGAACTTTGATCGGACAAAGTCGGAAACCTGAGGCATGAACGCGCCTCGTCCTGCGGTCCCGACCTGTAGAAAGACCTGCAGAAAAGCCTAGGCATGCGAAGTTAAAAAAGTATAGCCTGCATGCACAAAAAACATTCTGAAAGTAAAACTCCAATCAAACCCAAGAGTACCTACCGGGCATCCACGAAACCTACATTGTCTGCGAAAGGTAGGGCAACAAAACCTGTACCCAAACCACAAAATAATTTATTAGATGATGAAATTAAGAATGCTCACACAAATGCGGCATAATTTCATGAAATAACAGCACCCAAAACACAAAAAAAAAAGACTCGAGTTAGTTTAAGACGCAAAGGCACACCTGACGGCTGTTGGCCTTGAAGGGTGGTACTGGCAGGAACCAACCCAGGTTGAACGATAGTGGGCAGGACGTCGGACCTTAACTTTGGTCGAGTGCCAGATTACGTACAGGAAATTGATCCGCTGTTTTTTGGCCCTCCAATTATTAGGAGAAGATTGTCGTCTGCTTATGCCCGACCCAGAACCCTCACTACCTCCTGATTGATGCACAGGTTCCATAAGCTCAAATGTATACCAAATGAACTGCATATAATTCAACACAACAATTATTATAGACCAGACATGGCTTTACACACAAAATACTTCCCAGCCATAATATTACCATGTCCATACAGAAACAACACAAATTACAATAGAAAATACGGGGCAACCAACAACATGGTAAACCGCTGCCACTGGAAATAATACTGAAAAGTATATTAGTGGCAAGACACTTCAATGATTCCTTATGAGACTACCATGATTTCTTTCATGTAATCTATGTTTTAGTGGAAGAAAAAAACAGATTGAAAAAAATCAAGGGATATCAGAAGAAATTATTGAGTTTCAACACTTACTGTCATATTGTACTTTATGCTACTGCACCCAAATAAAAAGAGATGATGAGTAATCACTAATAAGATATGAAAAGGCAATGCACTTATGTAGCGGTTATTTCTAACACTGCGCAACCTCAATATTCCGTCTTACATCATCCGTCGTGATTTGTTTGGATCTGATGTTTGAAGAGATGGCGATAATTAGTTGGGATTTGATTTTGGGAGAGATGCGAGAATTAGTTTAGATCTGATTTTGAGATGTCCAGTTAAGTTTCCATCCAATAATAAATTAAGTTAAATCCACAACAAAACCCATCAATTTAGGGTTGAAAAATTGATTTTATTGGCTGACCGAAATTGTCTAACAATCTGAACTAGTGTATACCCCGTGCGATGCACGGAAATAATATTAAACTAACAATATTATAAATAGATCTCGAGTTTTAGTCACTCAATGACGGAAGTGGAAATTACTATTGATCCTATTTAAAAGGAGGAAGAAAAAAAAATAATTATAAATTAAAAAAGAGGATAAACAATCCTTAATAATTATAAATTAAAGATTCGGGGTCAAACAATGTAAAATTATTTTGTATAAGAGAAAAAAAAAATTGATTACACACCATTTCAAAATTATTATTATACTTTTTTGTATGATTAGCTTATAATATTTGTAAAAATATTAGTAATTAGACCGATGAAAATTAACTTCTTAAAGTAGATAATGGATTTATAGTAGTAATTATGAATTTGTTTCTATTTTATTTTATTTTTTTCTTTTAAAGATTATTGATTTCTAGTAGTAATTATAAATTGATTTTTATTTTATTTCTTCAAATCTGTATAGATAAGGGATGAGATTTTTTAAACACGTGAGACGTATGCAATGAGATTTTCTAACAGAAGAGATAAGCTCGTGTAGATTTATACTAAAAATAGGAAAAAGAAAAACAAATATTTATTGTCAAACAACGGTTTTGATAAACTAAAAAACAGGAAAAAGAGAAACAAATCTTTACACAATTAATGAGCCGATTTTTTTGTCTATCAGATTTGTTCAACAATTACTATATATAGGATATATTTAATGATTTTGGCGGGAAAAAGTTTCTAAACTTGTAAAAAGGTTATTCTTTTTATATAATGATAGATTTAAGTTGGAATATATCCAAAAAAATATCCAAATTTTTTACCTAAAAAATTGGGATTCTTATGATTTCATAGTTGAGAAAATCTGGTGGTTTCCTGAATAATTGGAAAGAAAATCCGGCCAAATTATTTATATGGAATGATTTAAAATACAAAGAAAATAAAAAATAAATAATTTTTGGATTTTTTAATTGGTTTCCACAAATGGAAAGTCAATGGCGTTGTTGACCAGTTTTTTAAAAGTTTTCACAAATGATTTATTGACCTCTCTTTTTCAATATATATAGATTTGCTGCATGTATTTTATGAGTTTAAGCCGCTTAAGTTGCAGTGAGTAAAAAAGAGAGAAGGCCGAAATATATATATATATATATATATATATATATATATATATTAGTTTCGTGACCTTTTCTCTGTCCGAGTCTTATTTTTTATAAAAATTTTAAGAGTTTCAACTCATGAAAAATCTGAGAAGTAACCTTAATCATTAATCTTTGATTAACTGTGGTTTTTCAATAATTTTCGTATAGTGAGATAATTTATTGATAAAAAATTATCTCGCTTAAATATAGGTTTCTGAGGAGTCGAATGTAACGCCCCACTTTATTTTAAAGAATTTATCGAATTTATTTAATAAAAATGACAATAAATTTTTCGCAAACTTTAATTTAATTAAAAACTCAGTGGGCGCTACTCAAATTTACCAAAAGCCTTTATCCGAAAAAGCAACCACCTTAAAACGAAAGATAGCATGCTCGAATATTAAATCATAAACCTCACTAGCATCCATTAAGTTCCAAATCATAAAATACAATTCATAATTCTCATATTCAAAACGACATAATCAATATCCAAATTTTCAACATGAGTTCATAAACTAAGCGGAAACAAAATTAAATAAGCAATAATAAATGACATAACCACCACCCGTCTTGTCTCGTCACCCGCCAACTGCTTAACCTGCATCAGTTACGAGCAGGTGGGAGTGAGTACAGTTAACTATCGTACTCACACTATGCATATGAATAACATAATAATGGTATGGTCGCAGCATGAACATAAACAATAAAATCATGTCACATCTCTAGCCACATCAATGACTATAGTCTCATCAAAGACTCACTCATGTACATCTATGCTCATCAAAGCTAAGCCATGCCATATCAGTGAAACATGGGAGTGCGTGCCACATCAATGACACGGCCTTCTCATAGGTCTTAATGAGATTTACCTCACTGGGTAACCGTATCTTATCATACGGGGACAACCGTATCGATGGCCATCAAGCTCACATCGATAGGCTACATGTTCATTTTCATACATAGATCACACCAAACTTTCATCACAATTTAAATCACACATATGCATAGATAATTTTAGAATAACCCACCTGGATTCCGGATTGATAATAACTCAAAGCAATTGGAAGTAGGTCGAGGCTGGACTCCTCAATTACCTACATTGAGTCAAGATGCTACAATCAACATCTATCTTGACTTTAAACGGAAAACACAAAACAGACCTAGTCGAACTTGTTTCGACTAAGTAGTTCGTGAAGTCCTGTGGATGTTGGAACACTAAGACTCGGCACTAAACTCGACCAAACCACATATGGGAGTTCACATAAATCCATCTAAGGATTGACCAAGTCAAATTCACATCAAAACGAAAAGCAAGTCGATTCCCAACTTTTATTTCAAAATCATGTTTCGAAAATATTAATCATTAATCACATGAAAATAGATGGTCAGGCTACCCTACGACCTAGGCTCTGAAATTTTACACAAAATTACATCTTCCAGTAATAAGTAAAACCATAAATTTTCAGCTTTAAACTCAAAGCACATTAATTTATAAAATTCTTACAAGAAATCAGCAAAAACGCACATGAATTCATATCTGAACCAAATGAACGATTCAGGACTTGAAAATTTAACACAACAAGCTACAGCATGATAGGGACAACATGTAAAAATATCAGCCCTGGACATTAAATGTGCTATTTTTAAAAATTCACACAAGATTCAGCAATTATCGAATTTAAATCAAAACAGCACTAAAATGAACTCCAAAAATTTTCATCTTTTAACAGCATGAATATACACCAAATATAAACATCTCAGCCAAGTTTCAGAATTTTTCATGAACAAACCGATTTATAGTAATTCATAAAGTTTTCAGCAGAAACAGAAATTAAATTATTAACCATATCAAATTTACTCCAAAAATTCTAAAAATTTAACACAGCATATAAACACATCAGAGGCACAACATATCAAAATTTCAGATCATTTGAATCACGAACCAATTTATTAAGCATTAAACACTATTCTGATCAGAATTCACTTTAATTATTAAAAATAGCTACAGGCCTCTAAAAATTACGAAATTTTTACACAAGGCTGGAAATGAACAGATAACATATCCCTCAAAATTTCAAGTCATTCCGAGCAGCGAGCTATTTTTAAAAATTCAAACACCAAAACAGCGACAATCAAGCTCGACAATTTAACGATTAATTGATCACACGTAATTTCTCGTCCGAGGCCTTTCCATAAGGCCAAGGACTCGACATTGTTCCAATATCCACTGACTTACACGACTTTCGAGGTCTCGTTCAATTTCTCATAATTGAAGAGATCCCGAACAACATAAACGACACATAAAATCATATCTATCACCAAATATCATACCGAACACAATCGCACAATATACACATCTCTCATATCAAATCGCAAATCACACATATTCATAAATAACAAACGATTTAAACGAGACGGAAACGACTAGGTACCGTTCTCGGGAATTCGGAAAACGAAACGGAAAGACGAGGCGAGCTAGCGGCAAGCTCGACGGCAAGCGTCGTCTCACGAAGAGGACAACGACTGAGAAGGGGATTGCTACTGCTAGGTCGCCGTCGGGGTTCACTGCTCGTACGGAGGGAACGGACGACACTTACGCGGCGGTGTTCGACGGCTACGCTCGACTTGCGAGAGGGGCTGCAGCGGTGTGTCTGAGGTCGCTGCGAAGTTGTTGTTGGCTCACGGCGAGTCGCGGCTGAGGACGGCTTCTCACGGCGAGGAGGAGCAACGACGGCCGTGGACTGAGCGGGGCTCGCGGAGGAGCAGCGGTGGCCAGCTTCGGTGAGGGCTGTGGCGGCTCACGGTGGTCGCTCGCGGTGGAGAGTCGTCGGAACTCGAGCCTGCTCGCAGAGGTGGGTCGCGGCCGGGGATGGCTCTGCTTGCCGGTGGGAGGCGCTGTTAGTTCGCGGCGGCGCGCGGACAGTGAAGGCCGTCGAAGTTGCAGATCCGCCGGGTCTCGCGAGCGGTGACGACGATCGAGGGTTGGGGACCTGCTGGAGAGCTTTCGTCGTCGGGGTTGCAGCGGCTATGGAGGTTCGCCGGAAAGGGCTCGCGACAGGAGGAGAGCGGCGGTTCTGGTTTTCTGTCCACGAGATAGGGCGAGGATGATGATCGCGACGGGAAGAGAGGGAAAGGAGGAAGATGACGGCTAGGATGGCGATTGGATATGTCTATGGCGACGGGTTCAAAAACGAGAGAGAGGGTTGATGATGAAGGTGCGATCGTGAAGGGAAGAAAAATCTGATGAGGGAAAAATAAAAGTTGCGCTAGGTTAAAAGAAA